GGTTGCGTTTCCTGTGCTGCTTCCACAAAGGAGCCCAAGAGGCAAGGCAGTACAGCTGCCTCAGCACCAAGGACAGCTCTGGAACTGAAATGGAGCCCTTTGGCCCTCTGCCTCCAGTTCAGATCCTATACTTTTGCTTTCTTTGGAGAACCTGATAAAGCGCAAATCCTCTAACTTGGAGATGGGCAGTTCTGCACTCCCGTAGACTCCCATATCACCTTTTGCTTGTGTTTTAGATAGCCTTGCTGATTCAGATAATTATTATTTAATTAGGGTTTCTCAACAATGCATCAACATGTTAGATTTGCAATGCTAGCTTGCATTTAATAATGTTTCCAACCCTGCTTATCTCTTCTTCTGCAATGCTTAATTAAGTTCTACTAAGTGAGAGAAATATATTTGCTCAACTTATGTGCTTAAGACCCGTCTTTAAATCCTAAATTTCCTGTGTGCTGATATGGAGGGGGACTAATGCCCCCTTAGCATGGCAGCTGTTGCAGAGGGAACTGAGGTGAAAAGCCTAACTGAGACTCAGTGTTTGCTACATAGAAATCAGGCTTAGATCTCCCCTATGAACAAAACAAATTTGTCACACCTCCATTAATTTGTCTAATCATCTTTTAAAGGCAACCACGTTGGTGGCTATCCCTGCCTCTTGTGGGAGCAAATGCCATAGTTTTGTCATGCAGTGTGTTTTATTGTTTCTGGGCTGAATCTTCCAACACAGCCCTCCATTAGGTGGCCTTGAGTTCCAGTATTATGAAAAACGGAGAAAAACATATTGCTTTGCATTTTCTCTATGCCATTTACAGTTTTATGCACCTTTATCATGCCTTTTCTCTAAACTAAAAAGCCTTAAATGTTGATATACAAGATCCAACATATTACAAAATGGGGAATCCAGTGAATCCAGTAGGGTGCATTCATCATGTATCACTTAAATTTCTTTTTTATTATACGATCATTATCATTTTTGGTGGTTTTTTTAAAATGTAGATTTATGAAAAACAAGTTCTTACTAAATTGTCTCCTGCCAAATGCATTTTTTATTCCAAATTATTTGATTTTCTTTTACCAGAGCAACACTGACAATGCTGGACTCTGTAGTTTGATTGGGATTTCCCTTTAGTCATTTGTGTGCATTCAAAGGAATAGCATTTTTTTTCTTTCCTGGGAAAACCCTGGTGTGTGGGGGGTGGGGTGGGGAGTTGGTCAGTTTGTAGGATGTAGGGAGTTTATGGGAAGGAGTGGGTTTTTGACACATAATATTATGTCAAGAAAATGTCCTTACGTTAGGGTAAAATGGAGAAAGGGGAAGAATATTGGAGGACATTTTGCATTTGTTTTTCTGTAAATGCCTAATATCCTTTCTAATATGTTAACAACAACAAATACTTGATGGGACACTGATCTCTGTACAGGATTTTTCTACTTCTTCTGGAAAAGTAGAGTGACACAGACACACATTTCATTAACATTTTATTTTATTTTGCCAGAAGATAATCAGAGCAGAGCCCAAAGCATAACAGAATGGTGGAACGATAACTAAGTGGATCTGGGGGGATCCCACTCATCCTTAATTGAAAGCCCAATCAAAAAAGATAGAACAGACTTGAACAGAAGGCCTAAGATCAAGCGTTTTGTTGCCATATAACTTACACACACATCAAAGAAAATGACATTACATTACATATTATTTTAGTATCAAACACAGCAACATTTTTAAAGGGGATAGAACAAACTGCTTCTTCTGTCAAGACTTCAGAGCAATGAATCTTCAAAGGGGGCTGAAATGTAGGGCCATAATTTTGGGATGATTTGATTGACATTCATCAGCTGCAATATGGAATAGATGGTAAAGGGACCCCTGACCATTAGGTCCAGTCACAGACGACTCTGGGGTTGTGGCGCTCATCTCGCTTAACTGGCTGAGGGAGCTGGTATACAGCTTCCAGGTCATGTGGCCAGCATGACTAAGCCGCTTCTGGTGAACCAGAGCAGCACACAGAAACACCATTTACCTTCCCACTGGAGCGGTACCTATTTATCTACTTGCACTTTGACGTGCTTTCGAACTGCTAGGTTAGCAGGAGCTGGGACCGAGCAACGGGAGCCCACCCCGTCGCGGGGATTCAAATCCCCAACCTTTTGATCAGCAAGCCCTATGCTCTGTGGTTTTACTCACAATGCCACCCACATCCCGTAATAGATGGTAATAACAGGAAATTTTGCTGCCTGAAGACCTCCCCCTCCTCTCCTGCCCCTTAGGTCAAAGTGCATAGTATTTAAGTTTTGAGTTATTCCATCTGTGGTGGCCAATTGTAATATAGATAGATAGAGAGATGATAGATAGATAGATAGATAGATGATAGATAGATAGATAGATAGATAGATGATAGATGATAGATGATAGATGATAGATGATAGATGATAGATAGATAGATAGATATGATAGATAGATAGATAGATAGATAGATGATAGATGATGATAGATAGATAGATAGATAGATAGATAGATAGATGATAGATAGATAGATGATAGATAGATGATAGATAGATAGATGATAGATAATAGATAGCTAGATGATAGATAGATAGATAGATGATAGATAGATAGATAGATAGATAGATAGATAGATAGATGATAGATAGATAGATAGATGATAGATAGATAGATAGATGATAGATAGATATAACTGTTATACATGCATGCATTTTGGTCCCATACAGTGGCGGAGTCTGTTGGAATGAAATGAACACTGTCCCACCATGCTCAGTTTGCCCTCAGCCAGCCCCCAAATGCCTGTCTTCACATTTACAACCAATCCAGGGAAAGGCACTGCCTGCCAGCGTACCCCTTGTCAGCACCAGTGTTGTCCTTGTGAAACGCATAATAGAAAAGGATGGGAGCAAGACTAGAATTAGTTGGCCCCACATGTTATTGGTTGTGGCTCCACCTACTGTTGGCCTCCCTGCCCAACAACTCCCATAGTTGCTTAAATGAAAATTCCTCTCAGATGCTGCAGTAGATGGGGAACCAATTTTATTAGAAAGTTAAGCATGATAATTAATAATTATGGGATAATAGCCATCATTATTCTTCCTCAGAGTAGACCCATTAGAGCCAGTTAACTGAAGCCCATTGATTTCATGATTTCACCATGGTTCTAATTCTATAACTAATATCCAGGAAGAAGGTGGTTCTGTTACAGATACTGGCAATTCTTTTATCTCCTACTCTGTTCTCTTACATTTCTATTTGGGGCTTCCAGTTATGGAGGGCCCCACAAAGAACAGTGCTGGCTGCTCTTTGAAATAAGTGGAGCTGCTTTTTGAAAGAAGTGAAGCAATATTATTTATTGCATTTATACCCCACTTTTTCTTCAAGCAGCTTTAAGATGGCATAAGTGGGTTCTCCTTCTCCTCCATTGGTTGATGTTAATCCCCCACAACAACCCTGTGAGGTGGGCTGAGAGGCCTGAGGTCACCAGTGAGCTTCATGGTTGGCTAGGGATTTGAACCCTGGTCTGACATTCTAACCACTATGCCATAGTGCACACAAACATCTAAAGGAAGGGGCCATAAGATAATGATGTTCAGAGTCTAAAAGTTCCTAACTATAGCTCTGCTTCTTTGTGCAAGGCATATATGCTATGCCACTGAGTTACAGCCCGTCAATAAAATTTTGCTCTGCCCTGGGAGCTCATAGTGTAGTAGCAGTAGTGCAATCTGTGTATCCTCATTGGTCTGTTGCGTATTTACATGCTCACACAAGGCAGGGCTGGTACACCAAATGCTGCATGCCAGCTGAACAGTCAATTGGTAGAGCTTTTCTTACCATTGCAATGATGAAAAAAGCTTGCCTTATTGCAACTGCTACATACTGTATCATGGCAGCCATTTCACAGGTGCTTTCTTCATTGGAGCCTCCATATATCAAGAAGAGCTTCACCTGTTGAATTTCTGCCTGTTAGATACAGGAGCCCTGCTACCAAAATGGAGGCAAGCCTAGCCCTTTTACAGAATATTACCAATGTAGCGTAATATGAATCACTTAGGCATTCTTACAGCTTGTGCCTATGTTTACTCAGAAGTCCCATTGATTTTTATGATCCCTCCCACCCCCAGGCTTGCAAGAGTTCGCCTTCCGGCTTCCCTCTCTTCCCCACCTCCCACACACATTTACTGATGTAGAAGGCCTCACTGCCTTCTCTATCTATATCTAGATTTAGGGGGGTGAGGAATAAAGGAGGCGGATGAAAAAAACCAAGTGTAAAATTTCGCAGAGCAGTTGTTTGATGCTCCAGACATCTGCAACTGAACCTTTCTGTTTTTGGTGAAGTAATTAAAATTCCTAATTAGATACACCTTGCAGCTCCTGTTAGTCTTAATTGGCAACAATGCAGCAAGATTCTTCTTACCTATTTTCCAGAATTTTTAAAGGGGTGGTAGAGAGAAAGAGTTTATAAAAAGAGTTTTTTTAAAAAAAAATTACATCAAACCCCCCCCCCCCAACCAGCACTGTTCCCACACAGTTCGGAGAGTTTGTACAAAGAAGATCCCATGGCAACAGCAAGGCCCACAGTTTGCTTTATAGACACACACACACACACACACACACACACACACACACAAATCCAACCAAGAATAGATAATGCATCATCGCTTTTAAAACAACCCTTCACTTGGGAAATTTCATGGAGGGAGGAAGAGAACACAACCACCGATCAGTGTAGGACTTGGTATACAAGCTTTTTGGCTTAGCTTGGGCTGGGTCTCCAGCCTCCCAAGCCCCATGGAAAAGTGGGCAGAGGAGCTGTGGGTGATAATGTGTGTCCTTGGCACCGGTAGTAGGCAGAAATGACTTCTTTCTCTCCTGTCCCTCACCCGCCCGCCGCCCCCCCTTCAAATCAGTCTCCTCTCTAATGCTTTGCAGAGAGGCAGTTGACTGTGGATTGGCTAGTACTAAAGTATCCATTGGGTGGCAGTAACAGTACCTTCTTTATGACTTGCAGCAAAGCAGAGAATGCATTCAATCAAATGAGCCGATCTTGTAGAAACACTGGAATCGTTTATGCATTGCAGTTTCTCTCTCTCTTTCTTTCTCTCTCTCTCGCTCACACACACACACACACACACACACAGAGAGAGAGAGAGAGAGAGACGCTCCCTCTCTGCCTTCGTCCCTCCTTCCCTCCCTTTCTCTTCCTTAGGATATTTGGGCTGGATTGCCTTTAATTCATCACGACCTGCTCCTTGGGGTTGGTGCACTTGTCATTTGCACAGAAGATTAGCATCATTCAGGGCAAACCGACAACTGTGGGATTTCCCTCCCCCCACCCTCTCCCTCTTTTCCTTCCAATACATTTTTTAAGGGGGGAGAAAAATCCCCTCTGTGCCGATTTGAGAGTTTTAGGACCCAGGAGACTTCCTCTCCAACAGCAGGAGCCGTGTGTGCTTTCCACATAGCGGTACAGTACCAGGAAAACCCCGTCGGATCGGTGATTGTAGGATACTTGTGAAATCTCCCTCGGATTCCTGCTTCCTGGGGACTGCATGGTGGCGTTGGGATTTCTCCAGGTGCATCGAGGGGCTTTGAGAAGGCTCCATGCTCACAAGCCAGGACTCCTTTCCTTGTCCAAGAGCTCGCGGACTTCTGGGGTTATCCGTCTCTCCCTCTGGCTTTCCCCCCTTCTGAGCCAGCTCCTTCTCCTTCTCCCTCTCGCTCTTCTTCCCGTCTTCTAATTTTAATTTCTGCTTCCCACCTGGATTGTACCATCCGCGCGAGCAACCTGGCCACTTTGAGAACTCGCAGGAGGCGAATCTGGCCACGGATCTTGAGCTCTATATGGAATTATCTGCTTGGATGGTGAACTTGGCACTCGTGAATGGGCATCTTCTCCCTCCTCTTAATTGCTAGCAGCGAAAAGGGAAAAGAACCCGGAGGAGTTTTGGGTTTTTCTGGGGTTTTTCCTGTTGTTGTTGGTTTTTTTAATCCTGGATTCCTTGACTACGCATTGTGATGACCAGCAATTACCTTACTGACTGATACAAGGAGACGACTATTTTGCAAGACTGTGGTGGGTAAGCTCATTTTTCTTCCTCTTCGTATATATGCATAGAAAGCTATATTAAAATAAAAGCCCCTCGGAGGCGTTGCTAAACTTGGTAGCTTGCAACTGAAAAGACTACTTTTCCCGATTGCTGCATTACACTGATGAGGGGGGTGGGGGGATTTTTATATATATCTATAGGGGGAGGGGGGAAAAGATATCGTCGTTATTGGCAGTTCAGAGGAACAACTGCAGTAGGTATTTCTGAGAGTGCATTTTGCGATAAATCAAAGCCCGAGCAAGGTCTCTCTCTCTCCCCACCAACCATGCCGCCTTGATGTGGGAGATCGGCCTGAATGCAGTCTGAGCAAACAGGCTTCCTCCTTGCTCCCACCCCACCACCACCCCCGGTTTCCCCCCTTTTCTGGCTCAAAGGGATCTACAGCAGTCACAGGATCCCCCGGTGATGGAACCTATTTAACATGAAATGGGCTCCCATCTCTCGGTTCAAAGATGAGGCTAATTTATTTATTTATATATTTCCCCCAACTCTGTGCAGCATTCGCTTGGAGCTGCAACGGAGACAGAGAGCCCTCGTTTATTTTATTTTAATTTTTATTATTTGGGTTCAAGTTGCTGAACTTTAAAGCGCCAATCTGGATTTATTTTGGCACGGTGAGGCTTTAGTTCTGGAGGGTTCATGCGTTTGCTCGTGGATTTGGCATCGGGGGCGTCAGGAGCTAACCTGAAGGGTAGCAGGAGCTAACCAGGATGCTCAAATTGTTTCAGGTTGTCCTCGGTGGCTTTTGTTACCCCCCCCCCCGCCTCCCCCCACCTGCTTTTGGGAGAGGCGTTTTCCTTTTTCGCCCGGTAACTTGATGTCTTCTTGACACCTTAAGACCCAGCCACGTGCAAAGGCGCTGGCGATCTGGGAAAGGAGAGATCGGATCTCGCCACAGCCTTACCTGCAGATGGCTGGGGGCAAGATGGGCACAGGGCACTTAACTGTGGAGTGGAGATGAAACAAACTGGAATTCCCTCCACACCGAGCGATGCCCACTGTTAAACCTTTCTCTGCAAAATGCATTTGGATCAGGGGGAGGGGGGAGTGACTGTGGGAATCAATAGTGATGACGTGGTACAATGCAATGCACTGCAATGCTAAAGTTCTATAGTGTGTGCTGGAATATAGACTCCCATGTGCAGCTGATGATGGTTCATGCATTATGGATGGGAGGGGAGGTTGCAGCTGGATATGGAGGAAGATAGATGTAGCTGTGCATAATCGATGATTATGTAACTTGATTGCATCTAATAACATAATCATACAGTGTATCAATCACTTGAGTTAACTTTGGATGGCTACCGTCGACGGAATGGAGAAAGAGTCATTTTTTGCTATTGTGGAAGAGCTGAGATCCGTCCCACCCTCCCACCCCAGCCTTCCTCAGCACAGTTCTCTCCGGGACAGTAGCATCAGAGAATCACCGTGATTAACTCAGCCACACCTGTTCCGAGGGACGCATTATTTTTATTTATTTTTTTAAATCCCATCTCTGTTGCAGAAGTTCTCCTTGAAAAGGTTAAAGATGAATGAGTTGTGAATTAAATGGGGGGGGGGGGTTGAATGGAAGGGCAGCCACACCCAGGTGAAAGCTCCTTTAGAGAATGGGAACACAGCAACAGAAGCTTCCCTTTCGATTTCCAAAACGTGTCTAATGTTAGACTCCCTCTGATTGTTGAAGGTGTTAGGTCACCACTTGTCTTGGTGGAAGGAAATGTGCCATGAAGCTTTAGCTGGTTATTAAGTTTGAAAACTGTAAGCAGCAGCTTGGCGAATTAAGGGAAGGTATCTGCTGGTCCAGCATCCTCCTAGCCTCCCTTTTCAGTTTCAAAATAGAACCAAGAGTATTGCCTAGGCATGACTGACAGCTGTCTCCTTTGAAAGGCAGGATGGTGGCGAGGTAATTGTGAGCACAGAGAAATGTGATTACATAAAACTCAAGGCAAGATCATAGGTGGATGATTCCATAGGTTTAAATGAGGGCAGCATGGCATTGTTCTGATATATCCTTTACAAAAGGGACTACCTTTCAATGAGGAAAAGTTACCAGCACAACTACTACTGTCATCCAAATAGAACTGACGTTGGGCAAACCCTGCATAGAATTTCTCCCCAGAAGAAAGCACACACACAACTGTATAGAGCCTTATTCCTCCATTTAGGAATCTGTGAAATAAATTATCTAACCAAGACATAAGCCGTGTTCTTGCACCGTGTAGGTTCAATGTGTCAAAAAAAGTGGGGGGTACAGTGTAGAATAGATAGGTTAGAGAGAAGTGAGAAAACGGGATCTGCAGTGTTTGAGATGCATCAACCACCTCTTCTTAGTCAAGCAGAAGGCATAGCCAGTTCTCAAGAACTTTGCAAAAGGTACACACAGCTTATTAACAGATGGGGACCTTGGTCTTCCAGCAACCCACTTTACACATCTCTATTTTAAACTGGTTCATCATTTTGTGTCTTCTCTCTCGGGGGGGGGGGGCAATGAGAGGCAGACACTAATAGATTGCACTAATGCAGGGTAGGGCTTGGCATTCATGGAATATATTAAGTGATTGGAAAATACAGATAGGAAATTAACTCCTGTTTCCATCCTTCAGGGGTCAGAATAGCACTATGGCAACTCCCTTGCATTAGGATCTCTCTTGTAATTTTCAGAAATGTTCCTAACGCTGGAAATTCTCTCTGACACTTCTCTCTTTTCCCCTTCCGATTCACTGTGTACACTCTCATTCTTTAATTACTTATAGGGTTTCCTGTGCTGCTTACATCAGAGCAACAATTCTCTAGAGGACCTGTAACAAACCAAGTATTTTGTGAGAGCAATGATTCAAGGAAGCAGTATTGGAGGGTGTGAGACAAGGAAGGCTTTATAATTAAGAATATATTCATAAATCATAAGAATATTTGCAAGGATATTAACTCATTGATTTCCATTGGCCTATTAACTCATTGATTTCCATAATTTAGGTGCACCAGCTGTGCACTGAATTGAACTGACATTCAATTTGACCCTTGCTTTCATGATCTTTAATGTATATTTTGCATAATGTACAATGCTGTACAAACAGCTGGTGTAAGATGTGTATAGGATATTCTTCTGATATGCAGGAAACTGCTTCTCAACTTTACAAAAAGAAATATTATTTAACCTTGCCTACCCAGGATACAATTCAAGGGCCGGTAAAGTCAATACTAATTTTGTCATCAATGTCAGCCTGAAAAAGAATTAGGCCTTCAGGTTTCTGCAGTGATAGATAGAAACTCTGATTCTAAAAACAAGGGCATAAAGAAAATTGCAGTGACTCCTTTTTGATAAGAAAGATTAAGAATTTGTTTCCCTGTTGTTTAGCAGACTTGATCTATGGGTGATAGTAAATCACAGCCAATTGATTTGAATAAAATTCCTCAGGCAAATTTCTGATTAAACTTGCATGGAATAATCTGTTGGTAGATACTGGGGTAATGTGCATCTCGAGTATAACATGAAATTACTTAACTCTGTGTTCTGCTGTTGAAACAAAACATAGCTAATTACCAAAGTACTTTTCTGTATTTTGATCTGCTTTGTTTGCAGTAAAGTGTATTCATCTATTTTTATATTTTATAACCGATATAATTTTTAGTGCTTGGCCAACCTCCCATTTCTACAGAGTAGGCTCCTCTCTTTTTTATAATTTATGGCAATTGAAACATCCAAGTCCTGATTAATATGATTAAAAAGTAGCAACTTATCAAGTGTTGCTAAAGTCATAAAGTGTAATTATAGCAGCACCACCATTTGCACAGCTCTAGATAAGATTGTGTCAGCATTTTCATTTGTAAGCCTCTATCTTGTGACCATCCATCATGCATAGGGGATATGGAACGAAACATTTACACTGAAGACCCTGAAACAAAAATTGCAGTTTGTTGGGTTAGTTATATTTGTATGTGTATACTCTCTCTCTCTCTCTCTCTCTCTCTCTCTCTCTCTCTCTCTGTCTTTCAATGGGAGTCTGAAGCAAGGGAGAGAGGAGGAGGAAGGAGGAGGCACTCTAATTCACCAATTCAATTATGTGTGCATTTGACTTCTGCAGTGTAAATAAATATAGATTAGAGAGAGGCCACAGGAGGTATGAAGTTATAATGAATGCTTTTATTGATTTGATATGCTTTTTATAAACAGTGTTTAGGGAAAAGATGAATATTGCTTCCACATATGACATTTCAGTTGTAGCAGCTAATAAATGAATAGTCTTTGTGCCTGGACAGTCTAGGAATGCAACTTTTTCTCTTCCATGAAAGATATCTACTCATACTGTTGCATACAGTTTTAGACACTGGATGCTTTTGTTCTGCTTCATTGTCCTATTGCCAGTTGACTACAATGCAACTACAAAACAAGGCTGGTCAGTGTTGTGGAACATGCTGCCATTTGTAGCACGTGCATATTGTTGCATGAGCTGAACACACGCACTATTAGCCTATGATCTACAGCTGGTGGGAAAGGTCTAGTACCCCACCCATAACAGTTTTACTACCCAGTTGACTAGGCAGGGGTGATCTGCAGGTGCCTTTTGCTGTGTTTACTGACTATCTCCTTCCACTGAAATAAAAGGGACTGATCCAAAAGGCATATGTATTCCTTAGACTGTTTTGTGTACTCAGACAATCCTTATCAATGGGAAGCTAGCAATACTGTGACTGTCGTATTGTGAAAAACATTGTTTCCATTGAGTTATATATGTGTTTTCGCACGCACACATGCATTTGTACAGTCCATACATGTGCCAACTGTTTGAATAGTTAAGACTTAAACTATCCCCTACTATTCCTTCAGTTAAATGGTAGCTTCACAGTTCTTAGTGTGGCACAACTGTGTTAAATTGGAAGCATGGCAAAACCTGCAAAAAAAAAAAAAGGTTTCCTTTTATTCATTCATTTTGAACTATTATACTATTGTATAGGCCAAACATACTTGCAAA